ATCTGCATATTTTTCAATTCAATATTCCCACATCCCCTGAGATAAACACCATCATCACCGCCACAATAGATTGGAGGAAACAGGAGGCTCAGAAGGTACTGACTGCCGAGAGTCACATTGCTGTTAAAAGATTTAAAGCCTAACTCAGGGAGAAAGCAAAACCCAAACAGAGAGACAAGAGAACATGGATTCTAGTCAATGACAAAACCCACTGAAGCTCACAACTGGAAAATAAATGGAATGTGTGAATGTTAGATGAAAATGTTCAATTTCTATTCATGAAGAGTTGAGGAAGTTCCAAGGAAATGAAACCTCCCTGTGCGTTGCCAGGAAAAGGCCACCCCTGCTCCCCACCCTTGCAGCTCCGAGGCCCTGGGGGGCTGAGGATTCCACCCACAGCTGGCGCAGTCACCCAGAAGGCCACACCCCAGGGATACAAGGCTCACCCAGGCCCGGCAGACAAATGAAAACCGTCCTGGCTGTCAAGGGGAAAGGAGAACAAATAAACCACTGGATCTTGAACCACAGTAGCGCTTCCGGAAGTATGCATGATGCAGACACACTCAGCAGCCAAGTTTCACCTTGATGTTTTTGAGAATAGTCTCTTAGCCAGCGTCTCGGAGAAGCTGCCTATGTCCTAATGACGTCCTCATCCTTGAATCTACCAGTGATGGCTTGTTGCTCGTTTCATCTGCTATCACCACGATCTCCAACTGATACAGAGCTTGAGATGTGGCTGTAGGCTTATTTATTTGTTTTTCTATCTATCTCTCTTTTTTATCTCTATGCCCCACTCCTACTTCTCTGCCTTCCCATATGCAACCACTTATGTGAAATTTATATACACATATATCTCTTATCTGGATGTCTACATAATATGCATGGCTGCTTGATTGTGCATATATTTAAATATATGTAAACAGCACTGTGTCATATATCTCATTGTTTATATGCTACATCCTGTTCTGTTTGAAAGATCTCCTACATGCTGTTTTGTGTACATTGAATCCACTGCTTTTTATTGCCTCGTACCCCACTATAAATACCCATATTGACCCCAATACCACAGAATTATTGCAATAACCATTATGAACTTGTGTAAGAAATTCCTTGGGAAATATACACAGGGGTGGATATTGTTGGGACAGAGGGCTGGAGAGACATAATTTAGCTAAGCAGTGCCCAACTGATCTCCACAATGAGGACACCAACCTGAGGGAGGGGTTCCAGGGTCGAAGTCTGGGTGTGAATCATGACTACTCGTTAGCTGTGTGACCTGAGAATATCACCTAACATCTTAGTCCCATTTTCTCATTTATGAAATGAATAATTACAGCGTCTATCTCACAAAGTTACTATGAGAATTAAATGACATAATAATGGATTAAAGTGCTTAGCACAGTATTTGGCACTTGGTAGGTAAATAAATATTATCACTGATTGTCGTCCCCTCCCCCCTAATAAGAGATTCCTGATTCCCCAAAGACTGAATCTTCACACTGGAAGGTCAGTAGAGCTAATCCTTCTCACTGAACAGAATGAGAGTAGAAACATCAAGTTTCACAACCAACGAGGCTGCATGTTTTCAGAGGAGGGAATGTGAATGTGGCTTTTGGGTTCCCAGGCCATTCTTTGCCCACATCAGAATGTCCATGAGAGTGTTGGTATTCCACGCAGGCAAAAAATGAATGATTACTGGAAAACAAAACCTGCCCTCTAGTATCTGCTCATGCCTAGTATTCTATAGAACTTACATACTCCAGTCATGGTGATGGATTTGTACTCTCTTCAGGCACATACACTGTCAGAACCACTGATATGCAACCATGGAGCCTGGAGAAGGTGACTGAACCACATGGGGTCAGCCCATTGTCAAGCCCAGCAAAACCAACATTGTTCCTTGATAATTTCATAAGGAAAGCAGACACAGAGGTGCACCACTGACACAGTCCTTCAAGAAAGAACCAACTATTTGTCTGGAAGGAGTGTGGTTTCGGGACAGCCTCCAGCTGCAGTACTTCAAACATCTCTCTCAAGTTTGAAGCCAAGTGTACAATTACATAAACAATCCTGAGCTAATGAGTAAGCAACAGTTAGAGTACAAGGACCTGGCCATTCTATCATCACATGGGGCTCCTCTGGTGGGCAACCTGTATCCTGAGCTCTCCGTGAGGTTGGCCAAGACTGTGCCAGATTTGCGTCCTGGTCTGTGGCTCTCCCCGTCCAATCCTACTTTCTCACTATTTTCTCTTTCACAAGCATCTCTTTCACAGGTACTTTTCACAGTACCCCCAATAAACCTACTGTACCACTAATTCCATCTCAGACTCTGTGTCCAGAAGGACCCATTGACATAGCAAACAAAATACTACACATACTTATACAGTGCTCCCCATTCCCATGTGATAATCTGACTTCAAGAAATGTGTTACGAGGCACCGTAATGACACCTGATACATGATCGCATGAGTTCTGAACTGTGCTTTGAAGCAAAGGGAGCCTCCTCTTTGCCAACCAAAAAACACAGGGATCTTTAAAAACAATGAATAGATACTAGTCTATATTATCTATTTTGTGATGTTTATTAAATATTAAACATTTGTTCGACACAAGCTATTCTGCTTTGATACATTCCCTTCATCGTTCTATCAATATATTTTCTAAATTTAATATATATGTTCACTAGGAATGAAGATGAAGAAACTGAAGACCAGAGAAGGTGTCAACGTGTCAATGTAAATCACTTTATTTTAACCTTCAGAATTTGTTTAAAGGGCCAAAAATTTAATACACTACTATAAATCACCATTTCATACATTCTTAATTAACAAACATAAATGGAAGTCAACTTAAAGCAAGGTATCTCCACCAGAGCTCATTTCTGAGAGAGACTTTCGGCAACATCTAAAGACATTTTGTGGTTGTCGCAATCCGGCAGAGGGGACATTACTGGCATCTAGTGGAGAGGACGGGAATGCTGCTAAATATCCTACAATGCACAAGACAGTCTCACCACAAAAAAAAATTATATGGCCCAAAATGTCAGTAGTGCCAGTGGAGGTTTAAATTATAGAAAAATTGTCCAATGTCTTGAGTGGTTTACTGAAAACTAAGAGAAATATTCTGCCCACAATCTCAAAATGATATTTCGTTGTGGTGCTAAGCAGTATCTCCCCCATTCCCTTAATAAAAGCAATCTGGAACACTGAATAAGATAAATGGCTACAGTTCACTTGCCCCTTGTGCAAGGGAGCAGTGTTTTTAAGCATATTATTCAAATACCTTATAAGATACAAATGTAGGAAGTACATTAGAGATCACCAGAGTTCCATAACTGTCACCAAACCCTTTTTTTCCCATTTGCTCATATTCCTTCTGTTACCTTGGTGAAATGTTTCAGGTTTGAGCATACCCTACCTTCAAGCATCCATTGCTAATATTCTTAGTCAACGTACAACACACATATTGTTTGATTTTTTAACAAAACAAGTTTGCATTAAACATCCCAGCCATGTTAGGTAAAGCCCAGTATTTAGCAGGGGAGGGTACTATATTTTTTTTTAACTTATGTGGGCTATATGGTAAATAATAATAGTAATAATAATAATAATACTTTTTTAATTGCGCTTTTAGGATAATTGACTTTTAAACCGATCGTCTGAAAGCCAAGAACATAATATTAAGTTTAGATAGTATTAGTACATAAATCAATGTCTTAATATTCTCACGGTTAAAGAATCAAAAAAAACCCAAAATATTTAGGGCTCCATTTGACGGTCGAGGTGCGCCCCCTGCTGAACAGAAGAGAGAAATGACGTTGATACAGTTTAAATTCACAGGGCTCCTAAGCCTGCCTTACACCCACCTCGCCATACGCCTCGTCCATACAGCTCATCCGAAAAGCTGGGTGTAAACCTCATATTTTATTTGACTCAAAAAAAAATGTGAGGTTGAACTGCCACTTGCACACTAGAAAGGTCCTATTCCAAAAGATCACCCAGAAAATCTCTAAACAGTATTAGCAACACGAAATGACCCCTACTTAACACTGTATTTTGTTTTCTGTCAAGTCTCTTTTTTTTTTTTTTTTTTTTTATGATAGTCACAGAGAGAGAGAGAGGCAGAGAGAGAAGCAGGCTCCATGCACTGGGAACCCCACGTGGGACTCGATTCCGGGTCTCCAGGATCGCGCCCTGGGCCAAAGGCAGGCGCCAAACCGCTGCGCCACCCGGGGATCCCCAAGTCTCTTCTCTGTAATGATACGCGATTCTCTGTCGGGGGAGCCCCTTACCCTCTTCGTCAGTCGTCACCATCGATCCGAGAAGTTTAAGTTCTCTAAAGTGACGGTAAACTGCCCGCAGGCAAAAATAGTCTAAAGATTCATTAAACGGGACCCAAGGAGTCTCCGGGCAAGAAAAGTTCGTTCGCCTCCCAGTCCGGCCCTCCTGACCCAGAAAACACCCCCGTGAACACCCGCTTACTCTCAGACGCCCCGACGCTGGTCCGGACGGTACCGGGCCCGGGACGCGCACCTGAAACTTCCCTCGCGGCTCCACTAAGTGCCTGTCGAACCCTGAGGGACGCGCACGTGTGTGTGTGTGTGTGTGTGTGTGTGTGTGTGTGTGTGTGTGCGTCTGTGTGCGCGCGCGCGTGTGAGAGCCTGGGTGTGTCGGCGTGTGCGTGTGTGTGTGTCTGAGTGTGAATGCGCGCGTGTGAGAGCCTGGCCGTGTGTGCGCGTGTGTGCGCGTGTGTGTGCGTGTGAGTGCATGAGCGCCCGGCCGTGTGCGTGTGTGTGTGCGTGTGAGTGTGCGCGCGTGAGCGCCTGGGTGTGTCGGCAGGTGCGTGTGCGTGTGTGTGAGCGCCCGGCCGCGTGCGTGTGCGTGTGCGTGTGTGTGCTGTGTGTATGCGCGCGTGAGCGCCCGGCCGTGTGCGCGGGAGGCCGTTAGCGCCGAGCCCGAGGCTCCCCGGGGCCGCAGGGGCAGCGCCGCACCTGCTCTTACCTGGGCTCCGGCGAGAAGGCAGCCGCCGAGCAGCAGCCACGCCCGCGCGTGGGGCGCCGCTCCCGGCCCGGCCATGCCCGGACCCGCCCTCCCGGAGCCCGGCGCCGCTCGCAACTTGGCGGGCGCGGGGCACCCTCGGGGCCGGGAGCGCGGCGCGGCGGGGGCGGCCCGGGGCGCGCGTCGGATCCCGGGTCCGCGCCGAGGCCCGCGCCGAGGTCCGTCCCGCCCTCCCGGGGGCCCCCGCTCGGCTCCCGGCCCGGACGCGCCGCCCCGCGGGGCCCGGTGGGAGGAGGGGGCGCGCGGACCCCCGGCCCGGATCGCGGGGCGCCCCGCGGGGCTGCAGGGGGCGCTCCCCGTCGGGGTCCAGCTCGCGCCGCCTGCACGCGCGTCCCCTCGGACCCGGCCCCCGGCCCCTCGGGGCGCCCCGGTCCTCGGGGAGGGCTCCGCGAGCTCCCTGTGCCCAGCCGCGCGCTGCCCCGGGCCACGGGAGGCCGCGGTGGTGCGGCCAGGCGGGCGCTGCCCCTGCGGCCCGCCCCGCGGTCTCCCGGGCCCTCCGGTTCCCGACTGCCTGGCTCCTAACCACACTAGTATCAAGTGAGTGTGTGCTTGGGGGGGGGGGGGGATTGAGAGAGAGGGAAGGAGGGAGGGACAGTCTACTCCAGCAGAAATCTCTAGGTCAAAATTTCTTTGCATCATTTTGCGAGTTTTGGGTCCAGGCATCATAGAAAGACAACTGATATTTGTTTATAGAGTGTGTGCGTGTGCGTGTGTGTGCGTGTGTGTTTAAATATCTTCTTTTGGGACAAAGCCTGTTCCCTTATTTTTCTAATAGGTGCAACCATCAAGATGCCAGAGACCTTGCTTTAGGGACCTTGAGTCCGAGAATATGTAGTCTCCCAGCATCTGATCCAGTTTGGAAAGAGTGACCCCCATAGACAGAACGTGATAATTCCCTCCCCGCTTGACCATGACGATCTGTGATTTGTCACCGTCAGCTTTCATATGAGTGCCAAAGTGAAAACTGGGTTTGCTTTTAAAACTTCCAGATTATGAATGGTTGGCCACCCTAAAACACTAGAAAGGGGTAACTTCTATTTCCACTTCCCCAGGTCTGAAATGTTCGCTCCTATCTCTAGCTTAATAGCAGTGTTTACATTATATGTGTGTATTGTGAACTATCTTGTGCTTTTTGGAAGTAGCAAAATATATTCAACATATGCATATGCACAGAGCCGTAAAATTACCAAGTAAAGTTCACTTTCTACTATTCTATCAAAGATTTATAACACTCTCTATGGTGACTATTATCTAAAGTCTTCAGTTTGGTTAAATAATTTAGAACTGAGGCACTGGGAACCCTGGGTGGCGCAGCGGTTTGGCGCCTGCCTTTGGCCCAGGGTGCGATCCTGGAGACCCGGGATCGAATCCCACGTCGGGCTCCCGGTGCATGGAGCCTGCTTCTCCCTCTGCCTGTGTCTCTTCCTCTCTCTCTGTGTGTGTGTGTGTGTGTGTGTGTGTGTGACTATCATAAATAAAAAAAAATTAAAAAAAAAAAAAGAACTGAGGCACTGAGGTCTGCCTTGGGCTCAGGTCATGATCTTCAGGTCCTGGGATCAAGCCCCACGGTGGGTTCCTCGCTCAGCAGGGCATCTGCTTTTCTCTCTCCCTCTCCCTCTGTCCCTCACCATTGATCGTTCTCTCTCTCAAAAAAATAAATAAAATATTTTAAAATAAATAAATGAGAACTGCTACCTTTTCTATTATCCTACTCAAGCAAGAAAATAGTGGTAATAGTATTAATACTGATACATTAGGTATATTATCTATCAGTATAAAGCATTAAGTGCTTTATTTCATTGCAGTTACTCTTCTGAGTACTTTACATAAAATTAACCAATTTTCCATTAACCCTGTGAGATAGGCATTATTGCTTTCCATATTTATAGATGAAGAAACAGATAGTAAGTCACTTGCCCAAGGTCCGGGTGTTCTATCATTGTGGCACCACTAATCATGTGTTCTTCTATTTGTGCAAAAGTATTATTACAGATTTTTTCCGTATTCCTTAGGCCTCAAAAACCAGAAACACTCTTCCAGGAGTTTTTGTTTTCATTTGTTTGTTCCCCATCTCTAAACTAGAGAATAATTTACTGTGCATTATAGTAGTGGTTCTAAGCCAGGGACAATTTTGTTCCCCAGGGACATCTGGCAACGTGTGGAGAAATTTTGAGTTGTGTCATATTTTTGGTGTGTCACACTACACATTACTAGCACGTACTGGGCAGAGGCCAGTGATGCTGCTCAACATCCTACAATTCACATGACAGTTTCTCGTGACAGAAATATCTGTCATTACTGATAAGGTTGAGAAACTCTACAGCACAAAGGGTACCCCAAACTGTTAGCTGTTTATCAACTAGATAGTCAATAAAATGAAATAGGCCTATACATTGGAACTTAAAATCAATTTGTGTGAAATTTCCGCCATTCAAATGGTTCATTCAAAAAAAAAAAAAAAACAAATGGTTCATTCATATAAATGGGTAAAAATCCACAGGCTCTACTAGAGCATATAAAGTTTTGAAGATATTAAATTATGCTAAATGAAAAAAGGTAGGTAAAATAATTACAAAAACTGCTGTGATATCATCAGGATATTTGTGACTCTTGTCCTAAAACATATGATTCTGATATTAGGGGTACACTTGGAATAAGTATTTTAGTTGTAAACTGATAAAAAAAAAACACCCTTAGGGGTATTTGGGTGGCTCAATCAGGTAAACATCCCACTCTTTATTTTGTCTCAGGTCATGATCTCAGGGCTATGAAATCGAGCCCTGTGTAGGACTCTGCACTTGGCAGGGAGTCTGCTTGAGATTCTCTCCTTCTCCCTCTGCTCCTCCCCCTGCTCGCACTCGTTCTCTCTCTCTCTCTCTCTCTCTCTCTCTCTCTCTCTCAAATAAATAATTCTTTTTTTAAAAAAAACCTTTATGACTTGACGGGATGAGCACTGGGTGTTATTCTGTATGTTGGTAAATTGAACACCAATAAAAAATAAATTTATTATTAAAAAAAACCTTTATGCAAAAAGTTGATGGAGTGACTTAACCCAACAAATCTCTGCAAATGACATCTTGCCAATCCTTAAAATCAATGAAAGATAATGACAGTTCTGATCATCCCCACTCACAAATGAAAAACAGGATCTTGATCATTAAGAGACTCAACCCCCAAGAAAATCGTAGCCCCAAGGAAATTATGTGATTTCTGGCTGTTTTGTTTTGCTATCTTTTGTAGGTCCGCTATGTCACATACCGACCTGTATCAGGATTAGTCAGCATGCTTGTTAAAAATGCACATTCTTGAGCTTTACTTCAGACCTGCTGAACCCAATCTCCAAAGCTGGGGTTTGGAAATCCACATTTCTACAGGCTCCTGGGTGATTCTCATACAAGATGAAGCTTCAGCACCACTGTCTAGGTTGATTGGGACACGCAGCTGGTGTGAGCTTCACAGGCAGTTGTGAGGTCTGATGGCCCAAAGACTTCTCTTCCGTGAAAAGTGCACTATCCTCTGCAATGAAGGGGCAGGGGTGACGGGTCAACAGCCTGCTCTGTAAGGTGGAGATATGGGGACAGTAGGTTGTTAGGCCGACTTCCCCACAACTATATAAGAATAGTCGCATTGTGAGGTGGACTGCTTTTGTTTTTGTTGTTGTTTTTCCATTTCTGAGTGTAGGTATCTTTCCGTGTTTTCACGCTGTGCTTTTGTGTTTGCATTTGGTGCGGAGGACCGAAGGACCTGAAGCCCTGCTCTGCTCTTTCAGGCTCCCGTGCTCCTTGCTGAGCTTCTCTTGAGCAGACCCACACAGGGTCTCTAAGGACCAATTTGAAAAGCTTTATTCTGGGAGCAAAGGTCCCTGCTATCAGCTGCTCTGTGTTTGGGGAAAGGGCAACTAAAATGCTAAAATAATTAATTAAATTAAGATTAATCAATGTAATTTAATTGCCTTAATGATTTCTCTAAGTTCTTTCAAGCTTTTTAATCCCAAGCTTGTGTCTGGTCTCTGCTGCTGTTGCTATGTGTGTGAATGTGTCTCTGTGTGTATCTGTGAATGTGTCTGTGTCTCTGTTTGTGTGTCTGTAGGTGTGAGGGGTGCGTAAGTCTGTGACAGTATGTGTTTGAAGGTGTATCTGCGTTTAACATTCCAGGAATTTCTCAAAAATTTGATTGTACAAATCTCATTCTTTGGTGTTTTCCAGTAAGATGAAGTTTGATTCTTTAAAAATCCAGAGTTGGGGCACCTGAGTGGCTCCGTGATCGAGCGTCTACCTTCGGTTCAGGTCATGAACCTGGGGTCCTGGTCGAGCGTCTACCTTCGGTTCAGGTCATGAACCTGGGGTCCTGGGATCAAGTTCCGTGTTAGGCACCCTACAGGGAGCCTGCTTTCCCCTCAGCCTATGTCTCTGCTTCTCTCTGTGTCTCTCCTGAATAAATAAATAAAATCTTTTTTAAAAAAAAATCTTAAAAATATAATAAAATAAAATAAAAATAAAAGTCCAGAGTTTGATCCCTGAACAATGCAGGAGTTAGACGCACTGTCCCCTATTCAGTCGAAAATCCACGTATAACTTTGATTCCTCAAAAACACAACTACTAATAGCCTACTGTTGACCAGAACCTTACCAATAACATAAACAGTCAATTTATACATATTTTGTATGCTATCTGTATTAAATACTGTATTCTTACAATAAAGTAAGCTAGAGAAAAAAATACAATTAACGAAGTCATAAGGAAGAGAAAATTTATATGCAGTGCTGTATTTATCAAAAAAAGGCCACATATAAATGGACCCTTGCAGTTCAAACCATGGTGTTCAAGGGTCAACTCTATATACATTTTCTCTCATTATAATGAGGCTTTCAATAGGAAGTAGAAATAAATGTATATTCCCAGCCCACCATCTTTTTCTGGAAACGCAAGGTAAAATACATATTTAGAAAT